ATTGTGCCATTCAAACTCTTTCCTCCATCATCTAAGAATAGATTTTGACTGGAGAAACCAAAGGGGACATTGGGTAAACTACCAAGGAACTCTCACTAGAGGGTAAATGAGATTTCACCAAATATCATTTGATCCTACTTCTGCAATATTGATTAATCTGTGCTTTTTGTATTGATGGTTCCAGACAGTCACCATTACACAATTCCTTCCTTTTTGGTCATTAATATCCCCTCAGAAATATGAATTCCAATAGAAAGAAGATTACTTACATAGTGTAAGTAACAGATTTGTAATAGTTTATGAATTTAGTGTCTTACTAAATTAGTAATTATATCAGTTGGATTTTTTGCCACTGACCAAAATATCTGACAAGAACAATTTAGAAGAGGAAATGTTCATTTTGGCTCATGGGTTCAGAGCCATGGGGTTCTCATGGGCTCATTTTGGCTCATGGGTTCCCTGATTGACTGATTTTGTTGCTCTGGGCTCAACGTGAGGAAGAACATCATGGTGGAAGATCATGGCAGAGAAAAACTGCTCAACTCATGGCATCTAGAAGCAAAGAGACAGAAGGAAGATTTGGGGGAGAAGATGCAATCCCTAAGGGTACACTCCTATCTTCTCCACCCATATCCCACCTGCCTACAATTACCATCCAATACAGTAGTCCTTTCATATTATTAATCCCTAACGTGGATGAATCTATTGATTAGTTTATGGCTCTTGTAACCTAAGTATTTCACCCCTGAACATTCCTGCATTAACACAGCAACATTTGGGGGATACTTTATATCCAAACCATAATAGTAACATACATTTTTAAAAGGTTAATGCTTACTGAAGTGATGTTCCCTTTTGGTGTTCCCTTAGATAATAAACAACCTCTGTGTCTCCATACATCCCCTCAACACCTTCAGGGTGTTGGTGGCTGGTTCCCTCAGCTCCACAGCCAAGGGAAGTGGACTCAGTAGTGATGAGTGTAAATAAGGAGTGTTCATCAATCCAGTCCTAGTTAATAAAAAATTTGTAAAAGTAAATGGCAAATGGATTCTCTTTGTTAAGATAAAAGTCCTTGCTTTTTTTTTTTTTTGTGGGATCACTATCTGTCCATCCACAGGCAAAAGTGGTCTAGGATTTTGTTTTAGTTGCCATCATCTTTACCTTTACTCTAAAAGTACTACCTATAGGAAATACTCAAAACTCTACAGTGCAAATGCTTCCTTAACTCTTTAGTTCACTCCCTCACAGAACATGTGAGAAGCAACATGTAAGAAGGACTCACTTTTACCATGTATGTTGAGTAAAGGAATTTCCATGAATTAGAAATTAGCCTAATCCGTACAACTCCATCTGATCTTTTCCTCTCTTGTCCCATCAAGAACTTCATTCAGAGGCAAAGTCCCCAAGTGGAAGTGGGGTCCTTTCTAGCTGAACCCTGGAGCATCTGCCTGATCCCTTTATGTTTTGCTACAAGCTACTTCTCAGTCCCAGAATGTGGCTTTAGACAACTCCATTGAGAGAGCACAGGCCTGTCAATGATCTGAAACTTTATCCAATTTATACTGTTACTGTTTCACTGATGCTGACAGAAGACACAAGTCTCTTGGGTTAGAGACAAAGGACTTTGTTACTATTGGCACAACAAATAACATCAACATATTTGAAAGAGTTTCCTTGCCTCTATATAACACACAGATGGAGTGATGATCCTAGGAAACACTAGTGTACACAATGGGTCACATTACAAAAGAGGAACCCAAGGCTCAGAGGCAAGCACAAAAGCAAACAACAAATAAGTTAATCTCTCTCAACTGTGATCTGTTTAATTGACTAAGTGGCTAACTAGAGAAACTGTCCAGGTTTAGGAGACAGATTAGTTTTATAATCTGCACACTCTGCAAGAATATACAGAGATGTTCAGGGTCAATGGCAGACTATATCTTCCAACAGGGCCCATGAACTTTTTATAATCCCAAACTTTTCCTTTCAGAAATTACCTGAAACCAAGGGTCTAAAACACTGATTACTAACAACCAGTACTGGCTGTTGAAGACTGCTTAAAATACACCATTAGCTGATGAAGCAAAATAGACAATGGGATAAATGTGGTATCCTATGTTTAAACAAAACCACTCAAAATCCTCTTCCCCAGCCCTTCCACTATTTCAGTTCCTACTGATCTGTTATGTAAGTGCTCAGTTCCTGTTAGATTGTAATATTGAAAAAAGAAACAATACTTTTTCTCCAAATTGGATAGGGAACTCTACACAAAGAAGAAAAATATGTCTAATAAGCAACAAACTTATTAAGTCCAAAGTGAAACTTCTAGTCTTCTTTACCAGCTTCTCCTCCTACAGTTCCTCTATCACAGAGAAGACAGTGCCATCTTTCCAGCTGTTCAGAACAACTGTCTTGGAATCACTCTTGACTCCTCTTTTTCTCTTCAAGTTCACAGCCCCCTCAATCCTCCAAGTGAATTCAGAAGACACTATCATTTCTTGCCTGGATTATTACAAGAGTGTGGAACTGTTTTGCTGCCCATCTTTACCTTCTCATGCCCATTCTCAATTCAGCAACCAACAAGATCATTTTAAATAGAAAGCCAGATAATATCACTTCTCTGCTCAAAACCTCCCATTGCCTTTTAACTCATTCAGTATAAAAGACCAAATTCTCACAGTGAGCTGCAACCTCCTTTACATCTGCAAGCCTACTTCCATCTCTGATCTCTTCTCAACTACCTCCCCTCTCTAGTTCTATGTACACCCCGCCCAAGGCATTTGCACTGTGATTACTTCTGCTGGGTGCTCCTCTTCTGGATGTTCACAGGACCAACTTCTGCTTCTCCTTCACGTTTCCTGCCCCAGCACTCTCCACCCCTTTTCCGCATTACTTTTATCCCTACATTTACCTCTATTTGACCTACTACAAATGTTCACTTCTTTGTTATTATCCTCTGACTAGAATGAACACTTCATGATGTGAGGGATTCTTTTTGTGACTATGTGCATTACTATATTCCCAATGCCTAGAAAGTGGCTGCCATACACTAGGATCTACTAACATTTGCATTTTAAGAGGTAATGGAACCTTTAAGAGGTGGAGTTTAGTGCAAGGTAATTAGGTCCCTGAGGACACTGCCCTTAAGAGATTAGTGCTTGTCTTTTGCATAAAGTATGTTCCTGCCAGAGTAGGTTGTTATTAAGAAAAATATTGGTTCCTCCATACTTTCTGACTTCCTTTCTCACCATGTGACTTCTCCCTCTCACAAATCCTCATACCATGAGGCCATCTGCCACTTGACACAGCCAACAGGGCCTTCACTACAACTGATCAAATATTAGTACCATGCTCTTAATTCTCTAAAACTGTGAGCTAAATAAATTTATTTATCTACATTCAGGTATTTTTATAGCAATTTGAAAACAGACTAACATAGTATCCAATAAATTATTGCTGAATTAATTAATTCAACAAATATTTATCTATTACCTTTCCTGTTTACAGTCTAAGACATAAAGACAAGTCAATAGGTTCTTATAACACAGTTTGTAAGTGGTGCATTTGGAGAAGTATAAGGTATTACAGGATTATAAAGGAGGGCTACATTAGGGAGAGCCAGATAAGAATTCTTTTAAAAATAAGGACTTTCAAGGAAGTTCTTTTGTGTAAGTCAACTTTCCATCACTTTGACAAAATACCTTTGAAAAGCAATGTAAAAGAAAAAAACATTTATTTTGGCTCAGTTTCAAATGTATCAGTCAGCTGAGCATGATGGTACATGCCTATAATCCCAGCAACTCAAGAGGCTAAGGCAGGAGGATCAAGTTCAAGACGAGTCTCAGCTACTTACAGAAGACCTATGCAACGTAGAAAGACCTTCTCTCAAAACAAAAAATAATAAGGACTGGGGATGTGGCCTAGTGGTTAAGCACCACTGGTACCAAAGGAAAAAAAATGTTTTTTTTTTTTAATATTTATTTTTTGGTTCTCGGCGGACACAACATCTTTGTTGGTATGTGGTGCTGAGGATCGAACCCAGGCCGCACGCATGCCAGGCGAGCGCGCTACTGCTTGAGCCACATCCCCAGCCCCAAGGAAAAAAAATGTTTCAGTTCATGGTTGTTTGATCCTGTTGCTTTTGAATGCATCACAGATGAGGCAGAACATCATGATAGAAGTACACTGTGGAGGAAACCCCTTCACTTCATGGCAGCCAGGAAGAATGGAGAGAGGGACAGGAAGGGGCCAGAGCCACACTATTCACTTCAGAGGCATGCTCCCAGTGACCTCACTTCCTTCCACTAGGCCCTACCTCCCGAATAGTGCCATGGACTGTGTACCAAAGCTTTGAGACAGGATTGTGGGAGACATTCCAGATCCAAACTACAATACCTTCTGACATCCTGCATACTTCAATTTGCTGAACCCAGTATCTTATCCCACCTAAGGAGTTCTGGTAATTTTCTTTTAATTGTTATTGTGTGTGTGTATGTGTGTGTGTGTGTGTGTGTTTGTGTGTGTGTGTGTGTGTATGTGTGTGTGTGTATATATATACTTTTAAACTATAAAGGATATATATATATATACTTTTAAACTATAAAGGATATATATATATCCTTTATAGTTAATAGTAAATGAAGGGAAATTTTCTTAATAGTATTTCCAGGGCTGTTGGCACATGCCTATAATCTTAGCTACTCAGGAGGATGCAGAAGGAGAATTGCAAGTTAGGGTGCAACTGAGCAAGACCCCACCTTGAAATAAAATAAAAAGAGTGGGAGATCAGTGATCAAGTACTTTTTTTTACAAAGAAAAGGCCTTGGGTTCCATCCCCAGTAAAATACACACACATAGTAATTGCATGGGAATCAATAAAAAAAATTCTCCCATGTAGTTTTTAAAAAATAATTTAAAATTATTTCATACTGTTCTTTTTTACTTTTTATATGAATTTAAGTTTTAAAAGTTACAGAATTTTTTATTTTAATTATGCCAAATTTCTTATAATTATTCTTAATGTAGAAGCATGTGTCACTACAATTAAAATTTTATGAACATGTATACATTTTTTCCCTGATGTTTTCAAAGGCACAGGCCACATACCTCTTTCAAGTCTATATTTTTTTATTAGAATATCATTCCATTTGCACATATTTCTCCTTGGCATGATCTGCATAGCTATTTCTTATTTCTTCATTTACTCTCTATATTTTTTTCCCTTCTGGGACAACATATATGCAAGTAAGTCATCAAAATAGAGTCTTTTCCTGTATACCAAGGCTACAAAATCAGTTTGTTCCTGCAGTTTTCTCCTCAGTATCTTCCTCCTCGCTCTTCATTTTCTTCTTCCACTCCTAGAAGCTATGGGTTTGTTTAGTTGGCGGTTGGTTGGTTGGTTTTGGAAGGTGGTGGTGGTGTTTAGAGAGTGGAATTTATGTCACATAGGTAACTTAATCCTTGGTGCCAAATACAATTGTCCTTCTATATCAGGGAGTTCCACATCCAGGATCTAACCAAGCAGGAATAGAAAATACCTGGGAAAAAATTGCATCTATCTTGAACATGCACAGACATTTTCCTGGTCACTGTTCCCTAAAAAATATGACAATCATTTATAGAGCATTTACATTGCCTTAAGCATTGTAAGTAATCTAGAAATGATTTAAAGTATATGGAAGGATAAATATATAGGTTTTATGCAAATGCTCTGCCATTTTATATAAAGGACTTGAGCATCCTCAAATCTTGGTATCTGCAAAGGTCCTGGAATTAGTCCTCCATAGGTACCATTAGATAACCACATGAGTTTCTTTTTCTAAAGACCATGGAAGCTTTGTCTATGTTCCTCTTCATTGCTACCTCTCAGTCTTTTGCCTACCTTTCGTTTACCCCCAAGCCCATGGAAAGTAAAACTTATAAACAAAAATCCCCTTAGGGCTTATAAATTAACAACTGACCCATGGTTCTACATACTCTGTCACTTGAACTTCATAACATTGCCATGAGGTAGGTACAAATGCAAAATCTTCAGGCTCAGAGAGGGTAGATGACTCATCTGAAATGACCTGAATGTTAAATGATGGAATAATTATTTGTTCTTAAACAGTCTTACTTTTAGTGCCAAGCTCTAGCCACTGAGACACTGGTCAGGGAAGTTGACAAGGAGTAACAAAGCAGTTGTTGTTCCTTGAGAAAAACTGCAGCTGTTTTAAGAAATAATATAAATTGTTGAGATGTAGAACATAAGCAATATTTGATCCTTGTCTATGAGGAAAGGTAATTTTCTTAGTCCATTTTGCGTTGCTGTAACAAAGTGCATGAGGCTAGATGCCTTACAAAGAAAAGAGTTTTATTTAACTCACAGTTCTGGAGCTCTAAGAGCATGTACCAGCACTTGCTCAGCTTCTAGTGTGGGCCTTACAAAGATTCATGAAGAAAAATGGAAAGCAGAGCATGCAGAAGAACACATGTACAAAAGAGTCCAAGATGAGGTAACAGACTAGCTAACAGACTTGCTTTATAACAACCTACTTTCATGATAACAAATCCGGTCCTGTCAGTGAGAATTCACTCCCAAGGGCAGGGGGGTGAACAATCCCTCTTGAGGATCCTTGACTTCTCCATACTGTTAATTGGAGACCAGGCCTGCCCTTGAGTTTTCATGGGGACAACTGCAGTCAAACCATAGCAGTAGTAGAATCATGATTTTAGATTCTTCTTTTCTAGTTCTCTAGGTTTTATTCTAGGGTGACCCCTACCCAATTTTATTTGACTAGAACGCTGGTAAAGCTAGATTAGGCCACAGGATGATTGAAGTTGACATTATTGATGAGCACAGTTCTCAGAGTCCCAACAACTTTCAGAAGCTGCCTTCCTGTGCATACTTCCTTTCTACCCCATCAGACCTCTGACTCAAGACCAAGTTTCATTTGTTTCTCAGCAGCCACTTGAGGACAGCAAATCCTGAAAGATTCTGTCCTTGTTGCTGGGCCTTGATTCCTATCCTTGGATTCAAATTAACCTTGCCTTGAATTGACCTGGATATTTTTTTCCTTCCCCTGTAGATTGACTCTAATCCAGAAGTTTCTATGGCCCAGGCTCCTGGAAAAAAAGAAGCTGCCCTTTCCTTTGTCTCTTTTACTTTTCAGTTTGCTCAAAATATTCACCACCAACACATTCAGGTTGGTTTATTTCCTCAAATAAATCTCATCTCCTTTTTAGTACACTTACACTATTCAGCTGGCCCATTCATAGTGGGGCCTGGTGACCACAATAGCAGGTGCCACTCTTGGGGAATGCATCTACCTTGCATAGAGTCTTCCAACACCAGCTGATACTTCCTGTTTGAAAGCTTGAGCCAAAAGTAGACCCACCAGTAAGTCAGTTTCTAGCTGAGGGTAATTTTCTAATTCTCAGCTTATTTGCACAACAGAAATAGCACTAAATCCAGGGATATCCATGTCTGCCCAGTAGCCAGCTGGGCCAGCCTTATTCTCTTTTCCCCATTCTCTCTCAAGAGTCATCTGTGAGCTCACAGTCTTCCACATAAGAGAACCATCCTTTAGCCTAGGATGTGGGACATTTTTACAGTACTTAACAGTACTTTTCATATATCAGTATTTCATACACAGTAGTTAAAATTTTTGTCATGGGTGAGTACCATCTGTACTATGGATTTCTTCTTTACATCAAATCAGTTTTTAACTTTAAACTGAATTTACTTTCATGTTGCTCTAAATAATATATCTTTAAAATCAGTGCTTGAGTCCACTGCTTATATATTTTAGCTAAAAAAATACTTATGAGAATTGAGTCTATCTGTGTCGATGTAATTCAACAATTTATTCTAGTAAATTCTTGCCACCTAAACCGTTTGCCAACTAAAATCACCTCATATACTATGAATGGTACAAAAAAATTTCCTTTCCCTCCTTTATTTCTCTTCTCCTCCTCATGTTCTCACCAACAATTCCATTTTGCATCTAATAGGTTCCCATCTTCTGTGACTCTGAAAACAAGACACAAACTAAGGGGAAAGGCATTGATCAACCAGGATGGAAGGAAGAAGAAGAAGAAAGAGAGAGAGAAGAGAGATCAGGCTGAAGGGAACACTAGGGAGACAGGGCTCTCACCTCTCCCCCAAGCGCTGCTTTGTTCACACAAAACACTGTCATCATGTTTGGATATCAATCACACAGGTTGGTGCCCCACTTTGAGAAGGAAACCCATCAGAAATCTAGGTGCTCTGTAAAATATATAATGCAGCACAAAAATAAGGAAAACAATTCCCATGAGATTTATGATAAATTAAACATAGTTGTAAATAGATTGAGAGGAGAGTTAAGGCTTTTGCCAGATTGCCCTGAAGAAGAAGAAACTGGGACTTACTGGGGGCCAGGCTCACTTCTAGGCTTTAATTGTTGAAGGACATTTACAATTCCAAGACATAGACATCTAGGGCAATAAAGGAAGACAAGAACTATTTTTAAAAGGGTCAGCAAATTGGTGACTCTAGCTGTTTCTAATAGCTACTTAAACTGGGCACCTACCATGTGATGGGCACATTTACAACAACTTCATGCAAAAGAATTGTTAGCTTCAGTTTGAGATTAGGATGTTGTCTTAGTCCATTCACTGCTGCTACAGCAGGATATCAAAGAATATGTAAATTATAAAGAAAATAAATCTACAGGGCATTCTACTGTCATATGTAACCAATTAAAACAAAATTTTTTAATATTTATTTTTTAGTTATAGGTGGACACAGTATCTTTATTTTTATGTGGTGTTGAGGATTGAACCCAGTGCCTCACACATGATGGGCAAGCACTTTACCTCTGAGTCACAGCCAAGCTGTAAACAAATTTTAAAAATTAAAGAAAAAAAATCTTTTGGCTCATAGTTCTGGAAGCTGGAAATCCAAGATAAAAGGGCTACCTGTTGGTGAGGGCCTTCATGCTATGTCAAAATAAAGCAGAAGGATAAGGGAGCACATGAAATTTGGAGCGGGATGCAAGCGGGAGCTGAGCCTAGAACAATCCACTATCACCATCACTAACCCATTCCTATGATGACAGTCCTAGTCCATTTGGGAGGGGAGCTCTCATAACCTAATCATCTCTTAAAAGTCCCATCTCTCAATATGGCTACAATGGTAATTAATTTTGACATGAATTGTGGAGGAACATTTAAACCATAGCAAACACCAAGGATCAGCTAGCAAGTTTCTGGATCAAAATTAAAAACTAAATTTTTCCTGCTCCAAAGGCTATGCCTCATCATTATGATGATTCTGATGATTCCACATCATTCATACAATATCTTTAAATCAAATAGAAAGAATAGATTGGGCAAGCAAGTATATAATTAATCATTTATGTACCTTTAACTCTATCCTGTTTACTACCTTGTTCTATCTTAAACAAGTTTTTAGAAAGAGTATAAAAACATGTTTATAAATAATTGACTAGAAATACAATAAATTGTATTTAGTTTGCTTTAGTTTGATTTTTTTTTAGAAAAATAGAACATGGCTTTTGAACTTTTTTGACCTTGACCAACAGAATGAAAATCCCTTTATATTACACCCTAATACCCACAAATATACATCTATGTTACAGAAGTTTTACAGAACAATATTTACTCATGAGAAGTACTGGGACATTTTTGATTCTGTCTAGTCTTCTTCTTTCTTTCCTTTTTATTTTTTTCTGTTTCATAATCTTCTTTATCTTTTTTTTTTTAAATCGTGGTAAGACCACAATAGGAGATCTGCTCTCTTAGAACTTTTGGTGTACACAGTGTTGGTAACTACAGGCATGATGTCATGTAGCAGATCTCTAGAATATACCTGTTTTGCATAACTGAAACTTTATATTCATTGAACATCTCCCCCATTTTCTCCTCCCTGCAGGCTCTAACAACCATCCTCTCTCTGCTTCTATGAGTTTGACTATTTCAGTTATCATATATAAGTGGAATCATGCAGTAGAAAACAGAAGTCCCTCAAAACAATTAAAATAGATATTTTCATTTTTTGTCTTTTTTATTGCTGGTCTTAGACCACTTTACTAATGTCAGGATCTACTATACTGCTTTTGCAGCTAAGAATCCTGAAGCCAAGTTCTAATACTACTCTCTTTTGCCTTAGGTTACACAAAAAAACAGGTAAAGACTTGTGGGGGGGGTAGCAAAGACAGATGGAAAGGGAGGAAAGAAAATAAATTTTTAAAAGTAACTATCAATGGCAACTCAGTGGAAATCTTGAGACACCCTTATGTATTTTTAATTCTTGAAAAGAAAAGAAGTGCTGCTTATATGCTGCTTTTTTCCCTAAAGACTGATCAAAGATGATGAGATACACATTTACTTCACTAAACAGACATTTCAATGTCCAAAGGAAACTAAAATTCAAAGGTTAGGTCAGCTTTGGTGTCTTCAGTAATATTCATCTGCTCATTTGTTAACTAGGGCACATCTCTCTTTGAAGCAAATGCACCAAGGAATAGGTGGATCACTGTCCACTAGATGGCAATATCGAACAGAAATAGCCTTTGCCTGAGCCTAGTTCCTGAGGCTAGCATGGTGTGTGCCGCAAAGGAATTTGGAAATCTAGGGTTACCAATAATTCACATAAATTCTGCCTCCAAGTTTGCTCACTGCTCCTAACGTCTTTCTACCTTTTCTTGGAACATTCCTGGATTTCCACTTCATTCTTGCTGACAGGCTGGCATCTAAAATTAGTAACTTCATTGACTATTTCCTTATGGCAATGCAGATGAGTTGCTGCTGTGTAACGTGAAAATCAGTATACTGTCTGCATCTGTTAATAATTTAAAAGGTAACAATATGCACTAAGCTTTTATTTTAGCTCCTTTCATATAACATTTAAAAAACACTATGGGTCCTGATGTCATTTCCCATTGCTATATTTCTTCCTTGCTCTATAAAGCCACTGGAAATACTTGATGGACATTTTGGTTGTTATTGCTCAACTAGAAAGATTGATCTTCTTGGATACACACTGGCAATCCATTTTTCCTGAAAGAGCTAATAAATGATAGATGAAAATGTATCATAAAGAAAAAATGTATACTTTTTTGTAATGGTAATAGTCTTTTGAAATAAATATATGTTTGAGATTTTAAAATATTTAAAAATCCTCATGGGTGATGAAGGTTTGCATATTTTTGATTTGCATAATTGATAATATTTTAAAAAAATATTTTTTAGTTGTAGATGGACACAATACCTTTTTTTATTTATATTTATGTGGTGCTGAGGATTGAACCCAGTGCCTCACACATGCTAGGCAAGCGCTCTGCCTCTGAGCCACAACTGAGCCCCTATATTTGCTTATTCTAGAATATTTTAAAAATATATAAAAGAGAATATATTTATGAATCATTCTTTTGCTATTAAAATTTGCATATCATTTGAGCTTTGCAACTATGTATTATTTTACCAATAGAATAATAAAGACATTTTTTATTATAGAATACATAACTGTGAGTGAAAACATTAATTTTATTATGATGAAATCTAGTAAGTTATTATTAGTAGGTCATTGAATCCTCACACCACTTAGGTGCTGTATAGTTTGATCTTTAATATGACTTGCTGATTTTGGAAATAATTTCTGGACCTGGGTCATTTTTACCATATTCTTATGTATAATTTAATATACTTCTTAAAGTAGAAAGAAGTTGTTCATTATTCTTATTGTGAAAACAGATAACCAGTAGTAGTACTTATAGTTCTAAAAAACAGCAAAACCAGTATATTTAACATTTTACTATTCTTGAAGCTACTCAACTGATGGTTTATAGTTTTATAGTCTAAGAAGCACTTTGGCATACATCCGTTCACTCAGTACTCCTTATGATTATACAAGACAGATGGGACACATAGATAAAAAATTCTAAGACATTCAGAATATCTGTAAAAGGTGGGGTTCTCTACATGTGGAAGGACCAACCATTTGATTTCTGAGTTCAGATCATGTGTCTTGCATTTTGTGGTCCTAGAGACTGGACCTCCAAATGTTTCATAGGTATAGACGAGGAAGAGGAAGACTTCTTACCAGTCATTTAAAGTTCTGGATGCTCTGCATTGCTTTTTCTTCCTCTTCAGGCAGGGAGTTGGCTGGGGGAGGGAAGAGGAACATAGAAGGACAGGAATCATACAGAACAGGCTGTGCCCATTGTGTTCTCATTCCCAATGTTGAACGAGTTCTTTATGGCAGCTCTCTTAGGTACACAATACAGACCTTATTAATGCCAAATCTTAAAATCATATTAATTTGTGATATTGGTCATTGCCTTTCAAGTTACATCTTCCTGCAGCATGTCCATGTGTTCATTCAACTGATGAAAACAGAAGTCCCCATTTGTTTTTCAAGAAATACATCACAAGATGCCCAGTGAATGCTTGAAGTCACAGATAGTACAAAATTCTCTCTATATCATGTTTTCCCCTATCCATAGATATCTATTAAAAGTTTAAATTATATATTAAGAACAGAAAGAGATTAAAAATAATAGAACAATAATAAAATAGGCCAATTATAACAATGTACTGTAATAAAAGTTAAATGAATGTTTTCTTCTTCTTCTTCTTCTTCTTCTTCTTCTTCTTCTTCTTCCTTCTCTCTCTCTCTCTCTCTCTCTCTCTCTCTCTCTCTCTCTCAAGATATCGTTCTATATTGTACTTACCCTTTTTATGATGCTTTGAGATGATAAAATGCCTACATGGTAAAAGGCCTAAAGAATGAATGATGTAGGCATTGTGACAGACATAGAATTAGGTCTCTGTATAAGGGTTACTTGAACACAAGCACAGCAATACCATGGCAGTGGATCTGAGCTAAGATAGCTGCTAAGAAAATAAATTGTGGATAGTATATATAGTATAGATACCCTGTACAGAGGAATTATTCATGTCCTGAGCAGGACAGAGTGGGACAGCATGAGATTACATGTTACTCAGAATGGCATGCAATTTAAAACTTAAGAAGTGTTTATTTCTGAAATTTTCCATTTAACATTTTTTTGAACAGCAGTTGGCCATGGAGGAAATGTGTGTCAGGAAGTTCGTCTTGAGAAGTGTTAATTAGGCTGAAATCTAAACAACAAGTAAGTTTTTATCAGGAAAAATTATAAGAAAAGTTCCAAGAGGGACTGCTCTATGAAATGGCCTGAGGTAGGAATGTTTAGTTTGTTGGAGAATCTTGTGAGCAAAGGGGAAAAAGACTGAAGACAAGGATAGGGCAGGCAATGGCCCCAGCACTGCCGACCTTGCTGTCCACAATAACTATCTTGTATTTCATCTTAAGATTAGTAATAAGCCATTGATGAGTTGTAAATAGAAAAAAAGCTATAATTAGATTTGTGTTTTTAAAAGATGACATTGCAAACCTGTAAAGTGAGGCGGACAAAGGATGGTTATTGGGTACAATTGAATAGGAAGTATAACTTCTAATGGTCTATAGCACAGTAAGGCAACTATTCTTGACAACAACTAAGTGTACATTTCAAAACAGTTAATAGAATTTCATATGTTTCCAAAACAAAGAAATCATAAACATTTGAGTTAATGAACATACTAATTGTTTTGATCTGATCATTGAACATCTATTGAAATGTCACACAGTGGCACAACCTGTAATTCTAGTAACCTGGAAAGTTGAGGTAGGAAGATCACAAGTATACACAATTGTGTGTATGTACCATATTTTCTTTATCCATTCATCTGTTGAAGGGCATCTAGGTTGGTTCCATAGTTTAGCTATTGTGAATTGAGCTGCTCTAAACACTAATGTGGCTGTGTAACTGTAGTATGCTGATTTTAAGTCCTTTGGTTATAAACTGAGGAGTGAGATAGCTGGGTCTAATGGTGGTTCCATTTCAAGTTTTCTAAAGAATCTCCATACTGCTTTCCATAGTGGTTGCACCAATTTGTAGTCCCACCAGCAATGTTTGAGTGTACCTTTCCCCCCACATCCTCATCAACTTAAGTGTACTATTTGATATGTATTGACAAATGTATATCTTATGCGAATTTTACTAGGTGATAGAATATAACATCTTTCCAGAAAGTTTGTCTCCACCACTTTATCTTTCATAAAGGGCAGAGAATGTTTGTAAAGAACCCTGGTTGTATCAATCTAATTTCTGTTGTTACCACAAAATACCTGAGGCTGTGTAATGTATAAAAGAAAAGATGTTGGGGCTGGGAATGTGGCTCAAGTGGTAGTGTGCTTGCCTGGCATGTGTGAAGCACTGGGTTTGATCCTCAGCATCACATAAAAATAAAGATATTGTGTCCACCTAAAAACTAAAAAATAAATATTTTTAAAAAGATGTTTACTTAGCACACAGTTCTGGAATTCTAAGAGCATTCTAATGCTTTTAGCCAAGTATTTGCTTGGTTCTGACAAAGATCTTACAGAATGTGAGATCATAATAGTGGAATGCATGCAAGAGGAAGAAATTTCATGGTGAGACAGAAAATAAGAGGGGAGGAGTCAGACTTGCTCTTTTAAAACAACTCTCCTGTACAAGAACAACTGGGGTACCGTGAAAACTACCTTAATTTACTCTGAGAGCAGTGCCCCTAATGATCTTCCCACCAGTTTAAACCATTTCCCCTATTAACTACACTAAGGACCCAGCTTCCAACACATGAACATTCATACTATTTCCAAATTTGGCACTGATGCAGAGCTCATGGTAAGAACACAGCAAGTGTTAATTCCTTCTGCCTTCTGCCAGGGGACTCATACAGATTCACCCACATTTTAACCAACATAGAAAAAGACATTGATCTCTTCTTAAAAGTGCTTTTGTAAACATTTCACAATAAATGCTTTGTAGAGGACAATGGTGTTCAGTGAACCAAGCCCAGCCTGGGAAATCATCATTCCTCACTCAGAATCCTGCTCTGCTAGTGCTGAGCAAGCTTATGGCACAGTCCTCTGACTTGTAAAACAGGAACAATAACTATCCATATAATAGGGATGTAAAAATCACCCTTATATTTTTAATGTATTCATTAAACAAATCCCGAGGAAAATGTGAAAAGATTTCAGTACTAGGTTACAAATATTTTCAGCAATCTGCCATGTTTTCATAGAATGCTTCTTTAGTGCCTTCATCTGGGCACATCACTAAGGTGAAGCATCTGGTCACCAGCTATCTGTGTGGAGTATTTCACCTGCTCAGATTTGGCACTAGAATCAGGATTGTAGTTGCTAACCAGATTTCCCTGGTGGTATATCTATCACTAACAACCCCTCAAAGAGGTGATGGGGTGAGTTTATTTTCTTGATTTTGTTTTATAAATCTGTGCTTTAATTAGATTATACAAGAGACTGGTGGGTTGAAATATAGAAAGGGTTTCTGAATCTCTTACCTTAAACCTGGCTTTAAGGAACTCAGAGACAAAAGGGAAGAGCACTTTTTAAGATATAAATAAAATTTCTTGAGCCTCTTCCCAAGTGTGTATACTCTATGCGTGTGTGTGCATATAAATGTATGTATATGTATATATGTATGTAGAATATATGTAGAGGAATACATGTATATATGTATATATGTATGTACACATATATTCATCTACTTATAGCTAAACCACCTTCACTATAGAATTAATCTCCTGATTCAATCTGTTGGTTCTTTTTCTCATCTTTCTTTTTTTTAAAAAAAATATTTTTTAAGTTATAAATAGATACAATATATTTATTTATTTTTATGTGGTGCTGAGGATTGAATCCAGTGTCTCACATGTGTGAGGCAAAGCTCTCTACCACTGAACTGCAACCCCAGAACCATATCTTTATTCTTATTGTATTGATTTATTTATTAATATTTGCAGTGCTGAGAATTAAATCCAGGGCCTTGTGCATGCTAGTCAAGTGATCTACCACTAAACCACACCCTGTCTTTATTATATTGTAATAATATATAAATACATTTTTTATATTTATCTCATCTTTATTTTTTATTCTCATATTTTCATTTCTGCATTACTACAGATTCTCCTGTATCACTGAAGTGAATCCCATCCAGTTTGCACTGTTTCATTTTAAAAATGAGAGAATGGAAATATTTGTAAAGTCACTTATTTAGTCAATAGTTGCATTCTTTCAACAGAATAATCAAGCACCTACAATGGAACACCATAGTGGATCCCATAGAAGAGAAAGGTAAAGGGAGTGGAGTCCGAGTCTTTAGAAACAAAATCCAGCTGCATGTGTGACACTTACACATGAAACAATATCCTCAAATGCACAATTCTCATCAGAAGCACAGCAAATTAGAGCAGAAAGCTTTAGCTTTGCTGTGCACAACAATGCTGCTGTATCAGCAGAATGAGAAGGAGGGAGAAAAATCACTGTGGTTAAAAGAAACTGCTGGCTTATGGATTTTTTTAAAATTACAATTTGCCTGCTCTTCTGACAGTGCTAGTTTTGCTTAGGTGGCAGAGTGGCTTTCATGAAAGCATGAGCTCAGCCTTGTCTTATGCCTGTTTAAAGAAAGAGGTCAGGTACAATGACTATAGTAGTAGCACCAAGCTAGTTGAAAACCACAGTGTCTTTCAAATGAGAGAGAGAAAAAAAAAAAAACCATACAATGGAAAATTTCTGTCCACTGAAATCCCCTTAAAGTTGTTTCAGAAACATACATGTGAGCAATATCCTTTTTATACTTTGGAGTGTTTTCAAGAAAAACAGTGTTTCAAATCTAACCTTTGAGAGCAGTAGAATAGTTTAGAAGCCTGAATTAATGTGGGGTTGAGAAGCAAGTGGGCTTTGAGTATCAAGGATGATTTGGAGCTCACTGATGTCTGGCTAATTTGCTGGTTCATTCAGATTCACCTGGGGTTATACAAACTTACAAGTCACAGATGCTGTAAATTCAGTCTCAGTAACATACTGGCTATACTTTTTGTGCTTTTCTTTTCTGCTAATTTGGTTTTGGATTGTGTCAAACGTGAAACATGCAGAACTGAGACAAGTCAAAATAAGAAGAGATGGACCTCAGTTTTTTTTTTTTTTTTAAGTTCTGCTTTGCTGTATTTGGAGTGAGTAACTTAATTCTTGAATAGTTTTCCAATTTATAACTGAACACTACACTGAATACAGATGCTCCATGACTTACAATGGGGTTGTCTTCCAGTTAACTAATTATAAGGTGAAAATATCATAAGTTGAAATTGCATTTAATACACCAAATGTACTGAACATTGTAAGTTAGCCTACTCTACCTTAAACATGTGTAGAATATAAAAATTAGCCTATGGTTAGGAAAAATCATCTAATGTCACTGAATAACTGTATTCAAAAACTGGTGTTTTAATACAGAGTACTGGTTATTTCCCCTTTCAATGGCTTGCTGACTGGGAGCTGTTGCTGCCACCCAGCATCACAAGAAAGGATGGTACTGCAAATCACAAGTATATCACAAAATTCAAAGTGTAGTTTTTTAACTGCATGCATCTCACTTTTCATGCATCTCACTTTTATACCATCGTAAGGTAGAAAAAATTGTAAGTCAAACCATTTTAGGTTGAAGACGGTTTGTATTTTAATCATTTAAAATATTTTAAACCACTTTGGAAAAGAGATGAATAATAACTGACTATATTTTCAAAACTTCATGTCATATATATCATAGGATGTCTTCCTAAAAGCTGAGTTAACCTCATCGGTATTTTTGGCAAGAAAATTGGGCCCAAGGGTAGAAAAACAAAAGGACTCTCATCCTAAATGCTGATCAATATGGTCTGTAACTGGTACTAATAATTTTTTAAATTTATAAATCAAATATATTTTAATATACTCATGAGGAATATAACAATGAAGTTCACAAAAAATGGCAAGTCATTAATTTTCTTGAAAGATATTCATGGGTAGGGCAAAGTTATGGTCATCTGTTTCATGGTGGTAGTGAAATATAACAAATGACTTCTTTCCATAAAGCCTCCCAAAGAGAATAATGCAGGTATTCCTGGCTTCACATTCTAGCAAGACTGTTTATGCAGTGCTTTTCTAGAAATTGGCTGTTTTCCCTTGGATACTTCCATGACACATTACAGATAAATTATTTGTGAGAGGAAATGCTAGTGGTCTTAATTTAAGAACATTTAGCAAGATGCATATGGCATGCTGGATGTGAAACTAAGACAATCTGTGCCTCTGTTTCATAAATTTGCAGTTCTTAGTTTTCATACTTCCTCAAACCATGAAAGAACTGGCCATTCTTAGGAAATCTTTATTTCTTACATGATAGTACTTTGTATTCTTTTTATTTATTTACCCTGCTTAAGGAAATCAGGTTACCATATGAAAATCCTTTTAAGGCAATAGTTAAAATTCTGTAAATTATATCCAAATCTAGTATCAATTCTTTAAGTTTTCCCAAATGCTAGAAAAGTATGCTCTTTTGTATTATAGAGTTAGTATTATAAACAAGTGGGGACAGGATGGATTATTTGACAAATGGTGCTGGAAATATCAATGGTGACCATGATAGGGAAGAAGGATTTCAGAATGTCTGCACTTAACTCTTTGTTAAGCCAAAGGTAGAATTAGATAAATTCAAACATATTTCTTCATATTTAAAAAAATATTTGGGGCAGGGGTTATAGCTCAGTGGTAGAGCGCTTGCCTAGTATGTATAAGGGGTTTGATTCCCTAGCACTATTAAAAATAATGATTGTTATTATGATTATTTTAATTTTAACAATGATCATGAATTCTTTATAAATTAGAAAGATACAACAAAGCTGTTTCCATTGTAAAATTAACACTATTGGAGAAATTGTTTTTTTCTATGTAAATAAATAAAATTAGATCCTTACCTAATACTCTATTTGCAGGCAAGTAACATAGAACAAAAGAAAAAATATAAAGTAAAAATTTCAAACTATGGGCTGGGGATGTGGCTCAAGTGGTAGCGCGCTCACCTGGCATGCGTGCGGCCCAGGTTCGATCCTCAGCACCACATACAAACAAAGATGTTGTGTCCGCTGAAAACTAAAAAATAAATATTAAAAAATTAAAAAAAAATTTCAAACTATTAGAAGAAAATATATAGGTTATTTTCATGACCTTGAGTTAAGAAGAATTTAACACAGAAAGAACATGAGTCATAAATTATAAACAATATTAAATTAAAAACCTAACTAAAATGAGGTTAAATAATAGACTGCAAATTAGAAAGTGTATTTAACATCTATAAGAAAGTATTAGCATTCAAGATAAATGAGGTGGAAAATTAATAAGCAAAAACAAATTTAATGGGCAAAAATATAAGCAGAAAAGGAAGACAAAATTACCAAGAAAAATCACAAAATATGCTCAGTCTCACTATAATTAGAGAATACTAATTAAAACAAGATACTACAGCACATCCATCTGTCTACTAAAGTCTGTACTTAACTCTTTGTTAAGCCTAAGATAGAAAACCAAGGTACAAACAAAATCTGCAAATTTATACACTAAAATGTGTTTGCTTTTATAGTGTGATGACTTCAACATCTAGCTTCCTTCAAAGGCACGTTGTCAGTACGTTCTAAACTCTTTATCAGTCAAAGTTGTCATAGTTAATCTTATACTTGTTGATTTGTGTGCTTAGAAACAGCTTTACTTTAAATAGTGTCATGTCCACGTGAAAAGACTAGAGATAGGGGGAAGAAACTTTGCCAAATCCATCAGAGATGAATTACAAATGGTTTAAACCCAAACTTTATCAAAAGCTTTTTGATTAAATCTGAAAAAAAGTAACATACTTAAAAATAAGCACTTGTACTTTTCCAGTGTTACCTGGACTCTTGTGGGCTTGGTTCGCGTAGTTATACTTGGAGCTAGTTGCCATAGAAGTTGCCATGCTGTTGGTTTTTATTATTTAAGAACTGGGATGGTGGGCTGGGGATGTGACTTAGTGGTAGAGCGCTCACCTAGCACATGCAGGGTTCTGGGATCTATTCTCAGCACCACATACAAAAAAATAAAATAAAGGTATTGTGTCCAGCTACGATTAAATAGAAAGAAAAAAAAAAGAACTGGGATGGCTTAGGAGGACAAGAGTCCAAAGTGAGGGTGCAGCCACTCCATTGGGAATTTACTGGAACTTGCCTGGGCAGAGATGGACCTGTGGGGCAACAAATATTCCTCCAGCTTTACTAAAGGAAAATAAACTCTATGTTGATTTATAGCAGTTATCCACTATTTGTCAATATTCTAAAAATCATTGGGGAGTCTATATCATTTAATAAAACTATCTTATCAACCCAAAGATAAGGCAAACAATTTTGTTTTGAGAAAAGTATGGCTTGAGGGCTGGGGATACAGATACAGCTCAGTGGTTGAGTACTTGCCTAGCTTGTGTGAGGCCCTGGTTTCTGTCCTCAAGAACCACCAAGGGGGGAAAAAAGAAGAAAGAAAAGTACAACTTGATTTTTTTTCTTTTTTAAATTTCTAGATCAGTTTAAGGATTCCCTGTTTGATGCAAGCATTGTAAATATTGTGATTAGTTATATTCCCCTGAAAAGCTCGTATTTTTTTTTTTTTTTGTAATCTCTTCTCCTTTCTAACAGGCCTAAGACAAATTTAGTCTGGTAAGTGTGAGTCTTGGAAATAAAACATTCAGCAAGTTTTATGTATTAATTACTACCTGCAACACCATTCAAATGCCCTCTGAGTAGTATTTGGTAGACCACTGGAGACAAGATTTACATTCAACACACACTGTTATGTATCAGTATAGTGGCCAACATCCAATTAGGAAAAGTACTTGAGACTTACCAGGAGTTCAACATGTGGATATGGTCATGGCCCAGGAACTCATTATTGCCTGAGATATATGAGTCTTGGCAGACTTAGTGCCTGGGCAGTAAAATCCGCATCGATTACTCCAGCCGTCCTCTTCCCATTGACAGGAATCTGATCCTCATTTTCACCTTATGCAATCTCCAAGGCCCATCAAATGTTAGGCAGGAAATAGTTGAACCTTGCTATTCCTTACCCTGGACTTGGTGCTGTGTCCATAGTAGGGAACATGGCCTGACACCCTAAGACCTCTCCAGCTTTACTTGTTACCCAATCCCTTAAAACCTGTGCCCCTAACTCTCCAGTATACACACACACACACACACACACACACGCTTACATGTACTCCATGCTCTTGGGTCATGCTACCCTGCTTATTATAGCTAGTCATGTACTTTTAAGCCATATTGTTTCTTCTGCTCTCTGCCTGGAATGCATCATTTTCAGTAAAAATGGTTCGATGGTACAAGGAAATGACATTAGTAAGAAAGGATGTGATAGGGTTTTTGATCACTCATGTTTCTTAGAACATCATTACCTCTTTCTGTATTCTATGCAAGTTGTGATTCCAGTGGAAAGTGTGACCTGTTTGGGCTGTTCCTGCTTACTCAGTTGTAGAAGTGAGATACCAACCTCTTCCTCCCACTTTATATTTACATAATTGAAATTCTACTACAACCTTCTGAGAGGAACTGTTATCCCTCATTCTACAGGTGAGGAAACTGGATTAGGAAAGGCTAAAACAGCATGCCCAAAGTCACCCGTCAGGAAATTGGGAAACTAAGATTCAAACTAAAGATTCTCAGATTAAAAAGCCTATGCTCTTAATCATTGTCTTATGACCCTGGTCTTTTAGTTTGGCTTTCTCTTATTTGTTTTGTCTGAGTCCACATGTTATTTTATGTTTAGAACCAAGGTCTTCCTAAGAATGGGACTCTGCCATGTTCCAGCAGCTCATTCTCCAAGAATGAACAGCTTTTCTGACCTGATGGCATATCTGAGTCCAGCTTCCTTCTGACAATGTGCTCCATCACTGCCTGGTTATCCAAATATAACCGCAATTCACCATCACTGTACTCTTCTGCCTGATATAGTACCAGATTCCTGAAGCCAACTGCTTATATAAACTACAAGTTTTGCTACCTACTGCCTTGGAGCCCAATTTTCTTTCAGAAGCAGCAACTAAGTCTGAGCTCTCAGTAGTAACTCCAGCCTAGTGAGTAAGTCAGTTTACAAGTCCTGCCCCTCTCCACTGAATACTATTTAACCACATTTAAGTCTAGCTCCTTCTTGAGGCTCTTGAGCAAGACAACCTCAGCAGATTAAATCAACGACTATGACTCAAGCCTTCTCTTTGTTCACTAGTGTCTTAAGTTGGGTTTTCCCAAAAGTCAACTTTGAGACAAGAATTTGAGTCCAAGTAGTTTATTTTGGAGGTGAAGTGTTATTGAGTGATTCCCCCTGTGTGTACATGGAGCTCAGTGCCATTGAATGACAACATGAAACACACCCTAGTCTTTCCATGCAAGGAAGACAAGAAAGCTTGGAGGCTTTCCTGTGGTCATTGACTGAGGGCTGCACCTGCACTTTATGCTAAAATTCTAAAGTGCAGAGTCATGGGTGCTTATGGTAGGTTGCCCTGACATATACTACTTATAGGCAGAGCACAGGTAGCATCTGCTATGATATGCATCAAAGCTGTTTTCTTAGTGATTGGAAAGTTTCAGGAGGAAGTACTTAGTATCAGCAACGGACTCCTATTAGGTTTCTCACATTTGACTTAAAAATTGCATTATCAGAGGCTTATACAAGACTGCTTTGGCAGCCCTCCCATCCTATCTCCAGTTACATTCAGAATTCTCAGAGATCTTTCCTGTATTTTTTTGCTTTTACCAACTCTGAAAATACAGTTTATCATACACTATTTAGTCAGCCTTTTTCCCATCTGAAAGGGCCTGAACTACATGCTATGAAAGAACATTAAGTATAAGATACTCTCTTTGAGCTTGAGAAATATGTAGTCTAGTTGGGCATTTGCATTATGTATCATTATTCTTTTCATGCAGAATATAAGAACTAAAGCTTCTCAAGAGACTTTCCAGCTAGAAAACTTGTAATAACAAAAATTAAGATGGTTTGAGACTAGATTAAAATGCTAGAATCATAGAATTAGCTACCTCTGCAGAGCTACAACAGATGGCACTACTTTTAACATTGTTCTATAGTGATATATCTGACTCCAGCTTTACTATCAATTCCTTAAAAACAGGGGTGATTTCTGCATGAGTTATCTATTGTTGCATAACGAATTACTCAAAACATACCATCTTAAAACAAGATACATGTGTTACCTTAGTTTCTGTGTGTAAGGGATCTAATCTCAGCTTAACGCTCTGTCTTACTGGAAAGCCCAGCTGGGGAAGAATCTTCTTCAAAACTCACATGGGTGTTAACAGGATTCAGTTCCTCCCAGACTGGTGAGCTGAGGATATCAGTTACTGGATTGTGGTTGGATAGCAGTCACCCTCAATTTCCTGCTTCTCTATCACAGCAGTTTGGTTTACCAAAGTATGTAAGCCAGAAGGGCAATAGGGACTGTTTTCAAACCTAATCATGGCCATGACATTCCAACCCCTTTGCCATATTTCATTGTTTAGGAGCAAGTCCCAGGTCCAGTCTACACACTAGATGAGGAGGTTACTTATATAAGTTTACTTTCATGAACACAAGGAAGTGGGATAATTGGAAGCCATATTAGAAGTCTGCCCACTCTAACACCTGGTTATAGCAGATTCTTAATGGTGTTTGTTAGTTTAAATTTTTGTCTTCCTACAACAACAGGAAGAGTTGAAAACTGCACTATAGCAAGATGAACATCAGATTTCAGAGTGGGCAAAGCAATATAGTAGGAGAATTTGGAGTTGCAAATTCCATTCTTTCTAGTGAACAGATCCACTTAAGAACTCTGACATATACTAATAGCTAGACTGCCAGTTCCTTGAAGGCAAGACTTTATCATGACATCTTTAAAACTTAAGTGTGTCCGTCCCTGAAATATGAAAGGAATTTGGAAAATATTAAATGGGTTGAGAAATTGAAGAGGATGATAAAATCTGTTCCTTTTAGGATAACCTCTCAGGATACACATTTAATAAAATGTGGAATTTA